AATTCTGATCTTCAAAAGTTACCTGTTTTAGTGTTTTAATGGACCCATCACTGTGAGCGTCTTTAATGGCATCCCATACCTTGTCCATAATAACAAACTCACCATTAACATTATTTGCGGATATAGATGGTTTTGATGAAATATTGATGCTACATTTCATGACACTGTCAAATGAATCCAACCACTGCTCAAAGTGTTTCTTTTGAGGTTTGAGTTGGCGCCTTAAAGGTGTACATGACGGGTACTTTGCCACTAGCATCTTAGCCACCTCTGTGTTTGTCATAATCATCATTTCCTCTACAAGTTGTTGGGCAAAAGGGGTGGTGTGAGGTTCTTCCCCGTAACTTCCATACTCTGTAAGGAAGTGTGCCATACCAAGTCTTTGTCTTCTCATCTTCTGTGCTAATTCATTCAAAGAGACAAGTTGTGAGCTAATTTCATGGAACTCATCCTGTATGTTACCAGACGTTATTATTCTCTCAGCCTCTTCATAAGATAATTGATGAACTGGTTTGATTTTTGTCTGAATGATGTATTGTGATAATACATGACCAGCTGTATTCACTTCAAACAAGTGTGATAATGCATTCTTCTCAGTATTTGGTTGAAGACTGCAAGTCCCTTCACTCAACCATCGAGGGAGCATATGAATGGGATGTTTGTCTGGCAGATAGTATGAAGTACCTCTTTTTCGAGCAGCAATATCAACACTGGAGTCAACTGGAATATATGATGCCACATCTGCAATGTGAACACCTATCCTGAAATTACCATTTTCTAAAGTCTCTAGACTCAGAGCGTCATCTAGATCTCGTGCATCATTTGGGTCAATAGTGAAAGTAGGTGTAGCAAATAAATCTCTTCTAACACAATGGCTCTCAACACTTGGTTCAAGAGTGGTGCTATTATCTTTAACATCATATTTTGCTTTGAGAATGTTTAGTCCATTTTCAAGAGTGTTTCCCATTGGAAGAACATCTACAGCAACACACAGTGGGTATCTCCTGTTTACATTCCAATGGAGGAATCGTGCAATAAATATTTTCTGTGATCTTTCACTGGTTGTTACTTCTTCAATATGGTCTAGCTCAAAGTTTAGGAATCTTGTAATTCTGTATATTGGTAGACAGACAGCATGCTTGTTTGTTTCTTTCCACAGTTGTCCTTTGAGCCAACTCATCTTGGGAAAATTTCCATTGATAGGGACTAAAAGATTGTCACTATGCTCACCCAGCATACATGCTATCTTCTTCATTCTTGGTTCTTCGTGACGCTCCAAGATACCAACTACCTTCCCATATTTTATCTTTGTGTCAACTTTGTCATCGCCCATTTCAAGTATTTCATTCCTGTTTTCGTCCATTAGCTCAATAACAACAGTATCTTGATCCAAAGCTCGTCCTCGCTTAAGCTTGTTGGGAATGCGAATTTCGAAATCAGGTTCTTCGTCAAGTGGTGTAACTCTATCTTGTTCTTGCATCTGAGTTTCCAGTCGACATCGCTTATACTTCTCAGGCTGAACTTTGAGGTGCTCTTCAAGATCATGTTTTGGCAATTCCTTAAATAACACGTCTTCATTGTTGGGAAAACACTCTTCTCTGGGACAGGGATCAGAGGATCAGAATGGAACTCATCAGAAATGTACCCTGAATAATCATTGAAATCGTCATCTGAAAAATAGCTGTAGTCACAATCATCAGATAATCGCTCATTTAATTCTGTTGTTCCTTGTAAGAAATGGGTTTCTAGACTGAAATCGTCTGTATCTTCATTACATGTATAATCTGTGTCTGATGCATTGTACAGTGACACCATTTCATTTGCAATTATACTCCATGTTGGTTTAAACAATTCACTTAGATTGTGTGAATCTATTTCCAACAGGTTATCAAGCAGATCCTGGTTTCGGGCTGAATATTCCAATGAGTGCTTGTTATTACAATCCATCATTATAGAATGTAAAACTGTTGATCTCTCAGTCTTATAACAGTCTGGTCGGCCAGGATATGCAATAACATAGAACTTATTCCGCGCCTTGGAAATTGAACAGAGTAGTAAGTTAAGCAGGTCCATACTGTGCGTAACAATTGTTGGTTGAGCAGAGAGAAAAAGTATAACAACTAAAAACTCACTTCCTGAAAATAAAAAAAAAAAACAGAACAAAACAAAACAAAGATTCGATTATTATAATTTGAAATTGTGTAGTAATGCAATAGACAGTAGCAATATATTTATAGTTATATACGGTGAGATGGACAAAATAAACATATAAGTAATTACTTAAGCATTTCTTAAAAATTGTAGACTTAATAAGAGAAGTATTACCTTGTATTTTTCTGAGAGTATTGACAACAATTGAAGGCATTTTCCTTCGTGTGAGCTCACTTTGCAATCTGTTTATCTGTTGGAAATATTCAATATGTATTACATA